GATTTCTTTGCATTGTTTGCGGTCTGAAAACACCTTTTCTGTAAATAAATGCTCTAAATGACTTTGTTAGAAATGATGTCAGTAGTTTATAGAATAAAACAAAAATGTTCATTGTACTTAACATTTATATACATAGTAAAACCAGAGAAATATATATCATTTTGCAGAGTCACTTAATTTTTTTTTCTGAATAGCCACCCTGTGTAATATGAATTTTATACAGTACCGACATGTAAATCGGATAAGATTGTCAATCCCCCGTAGATAATGTATGATAGTAAGGATGGAAATACTGTGATCCTACATGAAAGAGAATACTGGAAACAACTTGCCATTTCGACTTTTGGCACTTAAATGGTACAATATAAAGATATTTATACCAACAGTAATTGTCATCATAACACCATGTCATTGAGCTGCAGTATATAGTGCACGGTGGCATTTCACAGAAGACTCCATCTCTGCTTTAACCCACAAACTCCGCCTCCTGTTCTCTCCTGGGAAGCCCCATTGGAGCAGTTTAGGGGTCAAGAATCACGCTCAAGGACACTTCGACAGTTTGTGGTTATGTGCCACCATGTCTGGGCTCCAGGCTACTAGCACTGTATGCTCTTCTAAGGACACGCTATTATAGTTCATGTTAACAAACCAGGCAAAAGCATGCTTACTTTAACACACAGGAAAACACAAGTGACATACATATACAGCAATGAATAGACATCTACTGCATACTGATTGCATATGTATGTACAAATGTGCATTTCAGATTATGGTCTACTTCCTTGACCTGTCACATAATTTCATAAAACCGAAGGTAACGGAGCTCTGAAAATAACATTTATATGTCCATGTCTTCACACATATTATTTCACTTACAAAATACTGACGCTATGACTGAAGATGACACTATGTGTGAGAGTTAGTTAACCGTCTTATGAAACAGATTTATGACTTGTTCGACCGGCCTATTGCTGCAAGAGTGCAGGTCACAGCAGTGCAATTCTTTTTGAGTGAGGATGTGAAACAGTGAATGGTTGATTTAGTGACCTTTTGAAAAAAGTTTCTATACATAATTTGTCCAGAGGTACTCTGTTCAGTATGCCACTATGATTTTATGAATCTATTTTCCTTAGGCACTTCACCTATAATACATTTGAGCTCTGCTTTTGTTATAATTTGCTTCTCCATCTCTTTGGTGCATCTGATAATGTTTTATTCCTTTGTCTTGTCTCGAATTCCTCAAAAGCTTTACTCACTGCAGCGAGTACATGAGAAAAGACCCTTATCCTAAAATTTGTTCCCAAAACTATCACCCTACGAGGCATTAAACCAGGCGGTTTAGTTCACTGAGCTGTATTCAACGCCTCCCAGCCGAAGTGTCCTTTGTGTGACTTCTTACTGAGGAGGAGATGAAACTCAAACAATAACAAACCAAATGAATTTGTGCAGGACTATTTATGGATTGCAGATACTTGTGAAATATGAGTAAAATAAATCGGCTTTGCCTTTTTGGAGGACATTGGGGCATCACAGGTCGGCAGATTCCGCCATGTCAGAGAACTGCATCTCATTGCGGCGCCATATTTAGAGTGGCAAGCAAAGCGGAATGGCATTCAGTGATGGTACAGGGGGGGGGCTAAAAATGTCATGGATCACAAGGATCCTGGCTTAATTCTGTGAGAGCCAGAAAACCAGTTTTGTTTGGTAGGTCAGTCTAGATATACAGCAAAGTATAAAACTGTGACCACAGAATTACTAGTTTTTTTTCTCTCTGAATTTCTCTCCAAAGCTCAATACGCAGGTGAATAGATCAAACTAAGGTCAACGTGAATGTTGCCACAATATTCAAATGGCTATAAGATACACACACATTGTCTGAAGTGTACCTGTCAATAGTAAAAGTCAAAAAGTCAGTCAGGTGGTGAGATCTGGGCGACAAGTTATTCTGCAGTGACAGATGACATTTCTGTGAGGTTGCATCTGGAGTACTCTGGCGCTGAGGCAAAGCTGGCCTTTCACTCTGTCTGCCTAACTAGCATTCATCAGCAAGCCCTTACAAACACACACACTCACTCACACACACACACATACACACATACACACACACACACACACACACACACACACACACACACAACCCACATAGGCATAAAACACGTAAATGGCAGCTGGCTGTCCCCTCTCTTTGTCGTACTGTTTCAGCATTTTTGGGTGTTTTTTTTTTAGGGGCTGGAGTCATCTTTGTCCTGCAATGTCCTTGCAAGTTTTTTTTTTAATGACATGAATAGGAATTTGTGTTTTTCTTCTTTTTGTTTTTTGGTTTTCTCCCGTCCTACTCTTTTCCTTTATTTCTAAGCTTTAGTGCTGGTCTGGGGTGGTGGTCAATAACAATGAGACAAACAGCCCATGGCTATAATCTAGTTCAGCTAGTTCCTTCCTTTTTTTCTCCTCCACCGATGCCTTCTCTCTCCTCTCCTTCCTTTGTTGCCTTATTGCAGGCTCAACATGTGACAGCTCACTGTCAGTGTGTCCACTCTATTCAAATGAAAGTTGGCCTGAACTACATGTATCCCTGCCTACATTTTGGGCTCAGAGGTGGAGCAGCAGGCATGCATGGCGGCACAGCGCGGCAAAGGGATTCTCCCCCAGTGATTCATTTGAACTTTTCCTCTCTTTGAAATGGCATCACAGAGGCCCTGCATGATTAATGTCACCACACTTATATACACTGTTCTGCCCAGAGTGGCAGCTGAATAGCTGAAAACCAGGAACTTTTCTGAATGCCCGTGGGCAGATCTGGGGCTACTGTGGTTTGATTGGCAATCAGCTCACTATTCAACCTTTCCGGTTGCCCATGTAATATCATGCACTCAGGTGAACACACCCACCAACTAACGAAGCAGCGCTGCATTTTGACAACATTGTGCAAACAGGCTAATTAATGAATACCAGTACATTGTTGTTAGCATGTATTCTCGTGGCTCTGATGACAATTCGATTTGAAATCAGGGAAACACTCCACATAAAAATAAAATTACTATCTACTGTTACCATGACCCTGAACAACCCACTGTATGTTTTCTAAAATAGTCTAATTTGAAGCACAAGCTAAACCAAGACCGTAATTTCAGATTTTTTTTTTTTTTTAATTTAATTCATTGTTCCATAAACATGATCATTTTAAAGTTTACTTGTATTTGTATTTAAGACAACAAAAAAAATTATATGTACTTGTATGTGTTTCATAAATGATTTTAAACAAACCAGTAATACCATAAAGAAAGATGCGTATCAAGAGACTCACACTCCGCACCTGTGTGGATGTTTTGATGAAGACAAACAGAACTGTTCATCAGTAATATTGAAGCTAAATGAAGCTTCTTGAGATGAAATTACAGCAAAATTCAATTACTATTTAATAATGAATTTTTCTATTTATTGTCCTGGAGTAGGTCTACTCTGAGTGCTTAAAGTTTTGGGAATCCATTTTATGTAAACTGGAACGACTTTCAAATGTTTTTATACTCTAATAATGTGTATGTTCTCATTAAATAGCAACTACCAAAGCTGAGATCCAATTACAAAATGTCAGTATAATGAAATGAAAAGGTTTCAGAAAAGTCACAAAAATTTAATTCAAAATCTATAATAGCGACAGTGTCCCATACCAATTTATTTCTTTGGAATAAAATGAAAAAGTAATTTTTGTGATCATGTGGAATATTCAATATATGGACACAAAAAAATCATTTCTGGGTAATAAATACACTGGGAAATTCAATACAGTAGGGACCAGTAACATTTCAGTGTGTCACGAACTGCTTACATTAAGTGCAAGACTCATCTGTTAAATTGTTTCTGGTTCTGGAGGCACACAATCTCACTGGTAAAGAAAATATTGCTTTAATCCCTGACACTAATAACAGCATGTACTGCAGCAATGCAGAGCTGCTGCTATAACATCTGTATTATGACCATGCACACTGATTCTGCCAAAGTACTCTTCATCAAGACATTAAACCCTGCCTCGGAGAAATACAAGCATGTAGAGGGCTTTTGGTTATTTTTAGGGAGGATATGCGGAATGACAAACAGTAGTTTAATATGAAAGCACTGAGCCTCCAAGAAGCAGTCCTACTCCTGGGTTTGATTTATTAAATTATCCAGTGTTTTCTCTTATTCTGTGACTGGACAACATACATAACAAAAAACTCTTGTGTGTCTTTCTGCTCCCCTCAGCCTGAAAACATTACCTCCTATAATCTCACAACCAACCAGTGTAGCTCTGACTGTCCTGTATTATTCTCTAGTGGAGTGTCCTCTTGTTGACTCCACACTGAGTCTCTGATTCTCCACTTTGCACCTTTTACCACTGAGACTAAACAACAAGATCCATCCACTGAGAGCAATGGGAACTTTTCTAATTATTGCCGCAATTATAATCATGGTTGTATTGCAGCGAAGCCTCTCTGGGCTCTGTGGTCCCACTGCTAGCTGGATGGGCGCACAGAGAGAAAACGGTAATAACATCCCAGCTTCATCAACTTATTGGTGACTGGGGTACAGGAAAAGAGCCTCTTCACTCCTTTCAAGGGTGGATGTAATCAGAAGCAGCATCTATCTATATTTCCTTTTTAGGGAAAAGGGGAAAATACAGAGTTCTGCGAACATTCTTGCAGTATCTCCCAGGGATGGGAATACCATTGAGATTATAATTGGATTTAGGTGTGAAGTGAAACCCTATGTGTTTGATTAGCTTCATCAAACAGTAGGCTATCCCTGTACGACTGTCAATCATTGTGATTTCCTTGGTATTTCCTCTGTCTCTGCATCACTGACTTTTTGTCTCCATTGTCGACATCCGGGGGATCCACGTTGCCAAAGACAAATCAAAACAGCACTCATCAAAAATGTCATACACGAAAGTGGGCAACATTCAGCACAACTTTAAGTTATAAGCTTTAACATACAGTGTTACACACTCAGGTGTACTTTCTTACCTCTTCCCACTGGTGGATGTAGCGAATGAGTCTCGAGAGACGCAGGAGTCGCAGCAGGCTGAGGATCTTGGTGAAGCGGACAATCCGCAAGGCGCGCGCAGTCTTATAGAAATCTGAGTCGATGCGCGTCTCCACGATGAGGAAGATGTAGTCCACAGGGATGGAGGAGATGAAGTCCACCACAAACCAGCTCCGCAAGTACTTAATCTTGATCTGTTGCGGATCTAGAATGATCTCTGTGTTGTCCTCCTTGACGATACCCGTCCTGAAGTTCAGGACCAGGTCCATGAGGAAGAAAGTGTCAGAGACCACATTGAACACGATCCAGGGGGGCGTGTGCTCATCTTTGAAGAACGTGATGCCCACGGGGATGATGATGAGGTTTCCCACCATCAGCAGCAGCATGGTCAAGTCCCAGTAAAACCTTGTGAGAAAGAAATGGAGAAAGGCAGAAACGGGATGATCAAAGAGAGAACACTGAAGTCAAAAGATAACTGAAACTCTTCAACTAACCAACAACTGGTAATGTTCTGCACAGTTACAGGGTGACAGGTGTTGTTCTGTACACTTAGAGCATCTTCTCACATACACTGTCTAACAAACACATTCCCAAACAATCATGTGACCTTTTACCAAAGGCCTTGAAAATAATGTGTGCTAAAAACTGTACAATCCTCTTTGTTCATAGCATACAGTGTCTATGTCTATCACAATCATCCAGCAAGTTGAAATTAATGGAAAAATTTGCTATAAGTAATATATTATGCATACAAAAAGAAATGAAAAGAAATTCATTTGTAAATATCAATAGAGCAATGTCTTAACAATTGTGGCATTATGAGTAACACCTATACTGTAGTGTTCGATGTAATTGTCTTGCTTATTTGTTAATTTGTAATATTTTGTTGTAATTGTTGTAAAATCAGAAATTTTTGTGTAACTTTTTTTTTTTTTTTTACATTGAAGTATCAATAAATTATACAGATAAACTATACAGTATATGACACAGTGATGCCATATATATGTTAAATTATTTATTTTTGTTCACATTTTTTGTCATATTTTTGTTGTATTTGTCAACGTAGTATAACAGATGACATATTTGACACAGGCATACATAAACTGAACTCAAATCCCCTCTGATGTTATTAAAGTATGATTTCCTTGACCAGGATCTATAAATATGAACCTTTTCTCATCTTTTGAAAGTGACTTGACATTTTTATATGAAACACCAACCCACACACACAGTACAACAGCCTGACCACTGAGGAAGTATGTACAGTAAATTGTTCATTTATCTAACACCAGATTTACGCAACAGATATGTAATTAAATCCTCTCTGTGATACATCACTAGCCTATTTTAACCTTAGATACCTTTGGGTGTTGTGCAGTGTGGTGGAAGCAAGCGTATACACACACATGGCGTAATAATGGTATAATAACCTAAACATATGTAACCTCCTCACCATGCCAGTAGACAGCTTGACATGCAAGTTATTTGTGTTTCACCCATAAATCACAACTCAAAGGTCAATGAGGGTTAACTGTTAATTACAAACTGTACTGTGACCTCGTCCATCTTCCAGGCCTGAGAGTTTGGATATAAATTGCACTCTCTGTGCACTCTTGCTTGGTAATTGAATCCAGATTGGGTCGTTTGTGGTAAGGGTGATGTATCCTGGCTACTCCATAGGTTGCACCATGAGGGCGTTTTGCATGGTGCACTGGGCCATTGAGTTTGGGATGATTTACCCACTCACCTCTAACTGGGCCATAAAGATCTGTCTCTGTGCAAAAACCAATTTCAAGAACAGGACCATAAGAAATAAAGAAGAAAGGATGCTACATACATAACCAGGGCAGGAGATGCATTTTTAGTGTAAGCTAGCTAGAGTCCTGCAGGAAGTAATTACCACTCTTTCACTTCCTTGTCGCAGCTGATGTCTATTGATTTCATAGTTCCTTCACGGTGTGGTGAAGTAAATAACTCATGGGTTTACAGTGAACTGTTGCTCTCCTGGATCACAAGGCCTGATCCAAAAAGACCTACGGTCCAAGTCAAGTCAGGTTGAGCAAAAATCCGTTATTATTTTTTTATTAACACTTTGGTTCATACTATCAACCTCACGGGGCAAAAGCACAGCCAAAAATAACCAGCCACAACTGAGGTGTCTTCTATTTTTAGGAATTTTGTGTTTTTTTTCCTTGCCTCCCTGTGTTTCCTTTGTTGGATGATGTACAGTTTATCATTTCGTTGGTGATAAGTTTGATCTGAAATTGCCTTTTCTCTCTAAAGTCCTCTGTGATTAAGAGCTACATATGCTTAAACTTAAAGGGCTTTATCACTAGACCTTGATATCCCCATAGATACTGCTACAATCACTGGTGTTCCAACTGCTATTAAAGAAATCTCATTTTAAAGGTTGCAGACTTGGCCACAGCTAATAATACACATTTCTTTAGCTGTGTTCTACTTTCTTTTTCTTTCTCTGAGCATGACTAAATAAAAAACTCCAACAGCCATATTCTCCATGTTACTGTTTGTCATGTTAGCCTCTGGGGATGAGAGGTGTCATTGCCTCAACAACATTCATCTATGGACAGTCTTTACATCACTGAGTAAAAAAAATGCTATGGAGCAAATGCTTGGGTTTTAATGTGCTTGGATTACAGTTTACAAGAGCATCTCACACTTACACAAGCAGACATAAATATACAGTACATACCAGCACACATCTCAGTTTCATGTCTATTGCAGACACATGCAAAAACACACAAACACACACACACACACACACATGCACACTGAGGAAACAGTGACAGTAATTGGAATTCTTCAAAGTAAAAGGGTATCTACTGTTCCAGCTTGTTGTCAAGTGGAGTTATATTTAGACAGACCTTGCCACCACTGTGTTTGCTCATGTTAAGACTGAAAACCCAAGAGGACAAGAAAAACTTCAAAGGAAGAAATGCAAACATAGGTAATGACATTTATTCTTCATATTGCCATGTTCCCTAATATAACGAATACTAGATAGCTTGTGCATTTGTATGAGCTACACAACGTATTAATGGGATGTAAGCGTGCTCCCAGCACCTGACAGGGTCTACCAGCAATGAACTAAGATAATCGGTTTCTCTCAGTATCTTTAACAGCTGCAAATCCTTGCTATCTATTTGTACTACTAGAGGACCGTGTTAGGGTCTTTGCATTTCTACAGCTTCTTTACAACAAATTACAAAATACTAAAATACAAAATTAATGTAAAATTGACATACAAAAAAAAAAATATATATATATATATATATTTCTCATTACCACTAATGGAAATGTTATAGATATTTGGTCTTATATGGAAACTTTTACTCGATAAGGCCTTGTGAATGCCATCCCTAGACTGGTCAATAAAAATAAATGCAATCTGAATTCAACAACTGGGTTTCTCTCAGCACCAAAAAAAACAAAAACAAGAACAAGACAAGCCATAGAAGTGGGGGCCAGACAAAGATGTCTGGCTCATAAAACAAAAAATCAAACCTTACAACAAACCCTCAGCCAGCAGTTAGATGATGCCGTGTGAATGACAGAGCGAGGAAACAGAGTGAAAGAAATAGAAAAATAGTGCCAGAGGAGAGCTCCTCAACATCTTCTCAGAAAGAATAACAACACAGAATGCTGTTTAAGACCTCTGAATATCCCCCTGGCATAAAACAGCCACTGCTGCCACCTGTTTGAGCAAGCCTCACTTGTAATAGGAGTGTGGGGATTGGTAAGATTAACAGCAGCAGCTGTATAAATGAAAGGGGAAATGCATGACATGTTACAACACAAAAAAGAGAAAAATAAATCCGATAATGGTAATTTTTCATGGTACTATTGGATATTTTTTTCCAATTAAATCAATCTACCGGCTGAAGAAATCCATATGAAGCTTTAGGACATTCCAAGAACAAATACCATTGTTTTGTTTTGTGTTTTGGGAGAAGGAAATAGTTCAGTCAACAGAATTTCAAAGAGTCGTGTAGGAATCATTTTGCATTCTGTGTATGTTTTCATGTGTACATGCAGACAGTGGCTTTACATGCACGTTTGTGCGTGTGTGAGTTTGTGCATGCGTGCATGCATGTGTAGAGTAAACGCTCATGATTTCTCCTTTTCACTTTTGCAGTTGCCTCCTAATGGAGGTCAGGCCACCTAAACATAGCAAGGATCCATTTACTGTGTTTTATTATGCACTGGGACCCTGACATAGAAGAACATTGTTCTATAAATACAGTCGGGCAAGTGCGGGATGTTAGGCGGACATTTCAAAGGCATTAAACAATCCCTTATCTCTCCCTGTGTGCATCCCAAATCACAGACTCATGCTGTGTGGTGCTGTATCACCTGTCTTGAAACAAAACAGTGACCTAGCAGTGGTGATATGAAAGGGATACTCTCAGGTGTGGCAGGAGATAGAAAGATATAGTAATCTAAGGTACTATCCATTTTTTTTTCTACTTTTAGTTTTATTGTGTTTTGAGACCAAGTGAACTTCTGTGCCAAATTTGAAGAAATTCCCTCAGGTCATTCCTGACATACCATGCTCACAAGAATGGGAAGAACAGACGGACAATCCAAAAGCATAAAACTGAGGCCTACAGCAGCAGAGAAACATTGGAAACACTGAGAAAGAGAAGCAGCTGAATAGCTCACACCTAACTTGTTATGGTGCTGAGAGTTCACTGTACTGATGAAGGGAGCCCTGACATTCTGCAGTCTAAAGGGACAGAGCCACAGCCATCTCTGCTCTCCAGTGGGGTGACCAGAGACAGCAAGAACATGTTGTCACCCCTAGAGTGCATCTGACTACACGATAAGCTTCTCTCATTCTCCTCACCCTGCCAGCCAGGCTACCTGAAGGGACTATGAGAGCCAGCACAAACAGCAAGAGATGGACACACACTTAACTTTCACAGTAGCATTTAAATATTTAAATTAGGGGATATATTGTCATGCATTTACAGGGGATACACAGGGAGTACATGTTTGTATTTGTGCATGCATGTGTGCAAACTTGTTTACATTTCCCTTACAGATATATGTCTGTTTGTTGGCTACCATGCTGGGAGAGTGATGACATGCAAGCAGATCATGTGTTATGTCAGGTACAACTTTCAGACAGCATTTAACAGTGTCTCCCTTTATTCTGCACCACACTGACTGAATGGGAACAGCAGAGGAACAGTGGGTGCTCCCACAAAACACTTCCATGAGGGCACCAGCCAACATGGTTCGAATTGTAAATGTGATTTGGGCTGATTAAATGATTGAAATTTATCTGTTTATGCATAAAAAAGCAGTTTCTGTTTTGAATAATTCATTTGCTTTCTCTGTGGTGTGCGTGTGTGGGTGTGTGTGTGTGTGTGTGAGTGAGT